TCCAGAAATTAAAATGTGTATCTGCTAAAAGTGGAGAGAAACTTTATGTAAGATAGTATGGTTACAGTAACTGACAACACAATAAAAGAGTAAATAACCTCTTTGTTGTCTCCTTCTGGAACTCCAGTTATATTGTGTATAATATATATTAGGCTTTTTGATGTTCTCCTGTAGTTCACTGATGCTCTGTTTGGTTTTTGTCTTTTTCTCTGTTTCATTTTGGATAGTCTTTTTCTCTATCTTAAAGTTCACTGATTCCCTCACCCATCCACCCCTCATGGTTAATCTGGTGTTAATCCCATCGAATGTATTTTTAAAAAATATATTTTTATTTATTTCAGAGAGGAAGGGAGAGGGAGAGGGAGATAGGAACAGCAATGATAAGAGAGAATCATTGACCTGCTGCCTCCTGTAAGCCCCACATTGGGGATCGAGCCCACAACCCAGGCATGTGCCCTGACAGGGAATTGAACCGTGACCTCCTGGTTCATAGGTGACACTCAGCCACTGAGTCACGCTGGCCAGGCTTTCTCTTCATTCTGAGAGCTAAAAAGACTGAGTCATATTCTTTAGTCTAATCCCAATTTACAAGTCACTTATTTATTGAGAATTTTATTTTTCTGGAAGATAAGAGACGTTATTTTAATCATGTTTCTGAAGTATCAAATGAGTCTAGTCTTTAAAAAAAAAAGGATAACAAGAAAAGGAATTTTTAATCAACTAACCTGAAAAGGATTTTAAAAGACTAGACCAAACATTCACTTACTCCCTCACTCCATGTATTCATTCACTCAAGTCACTTTTGTGAAGCAGCTTTTATGGACATGATACTGAGTTACCTTCTCCTGAGATTTAAATCTCCCTCAAATGAGTCACCTTGTCCTCAGAAGCATGCCCAGAAATAACTAAAATACCAGGTAAAAAGCTACCGTTTCCCCCAAAGTGGGACAGATAAAATAAGATAGAAGTCCTGAAGGTCGAAGGGTCATGTCTCATTTTGGGAAAGGATTGAAAGAAACAGTACTTTAACACAGTAGGGATTTGGATCTTGGAGAAAGTAGAAAGAAACCTTCCAGGTACGGGAAGTCATGTGGGCAAAGCAGAAAGACAGGAAAATGGTAAGCTTTTGCTAAGCACTGCATAAAAGAGTTTAATTAGGGTCGATGTGAAGGGAACGGGGAGGCCAAGTGTAGCAGTGGCTGATGTTAAGAAGACTGATTGCTGCCCTGACCGGTTTGGCTCAATGGATAGAGCGTCGGCCTGCCAACTCAATGGTCCCAGGTTCGATTCCTGGTCAAGGGCATGTACCTTGGTTGCGGGCACATACCCAGTAGGGAGTGTGCAGGAGGCAGCTGATCAATGTTTATCTCTCATCGATGTTTCTAACTCTCTATCCCTCTCCCTTCTTCTCTGTAAAAAATCAATTAAAATGTATTAAAAGAAGACTGATTGCTAAGCTGAGGGATGTAGACTTGGCTGAGGCACTGAGTGATAGTTACTGAAGAGCTTTAGAACACACAGAATCATAATCAGAACAGTGCGTCAGGAAAGTGAATGACAAGCCACACCTATTTCAAAGTGAAAAATTAATTCTAAATTCAAATATTCATTATGCCCCAAAATAGGTATTAAGTAAAGTCAGTGCCTGCTAATTTTCCTCTTTTTTTTTTAACTGAATTAAGTGTGAATCACTAAATGGCAGGTACTGTTCAGTCTCACTGTGGATCAGCTGGTCTTGTCTCCATCTTCGTGACTCTGAAAACAGTGATGCTAATTAAAGATCTTACATGAACTCTAGATACCAGTTTTCCACTGACCCGTGAAGGTCCTACAGCCAGGCCTGCACTGCCTATGAGTCAGGCAGTCGTGACATCTCGTACAGCTTCCTGATGAGGCCTCTTTCCTGCCCGGGCTCTGGCCATTTGAAGAGCCATGCACCTTTGAAAAGTGCCAGAGGGCATTTGCACAAGATCCAGAGGCGTCAGTCACTTGTGATCGTTGTTAAAAATACTGCAGTTAAAGCTGCAGTTGAAAGAGCTGTGCTTCAGGTAGCTCTTTGCAGTTCAGCTAGGAACTTCTCTTGGAGAGCTAGCCAATTTATCATTGGAACAAGGTGATAAAAGTAACAACGGCTAAGACCATAGCACTTCACAGCTCCTGTACCGATGAAAAAGGTCACTTTTCCTGAGTCTCTAGATGCTGTAAGTTTTTAATAAGTAAACACCAAAGATCAAAGGCAGCAGCTTCAGAATGCAGGTAAAGGAAAGCTAAGAGCAGCTACACATTTGAGTAGAGGGAGCATCTTTGTCTTAATAACTCTTCCCAAGACATCCTTGGACTGTCCCTCAGTCACCAGTGGCCTAGTTCTGAATTGTGTGACCTTGGATGGATATTTTTTTGTTGTTGTTAATCCTCACCTCAGGATATTTTTTTGATTGATTTGTAGGGAGAGTGGAAGAGAGAGGGAAAGACAGAGAGAAACATCAAAGTGAGAGAGACACATCGATTGGTTGCCTCCTGCACGAGCCCTGACCAGGCTTCAGCCTTGAGGAGGAGCCTGCAACCAGGGTACGTGCCCTTGACCAGAATTGAACTCGGGACCCTTTGGTCCAAAGGCCGATGTTCTGTCCACTGGGCCAAACCATCTAGGGCTTGGGTGAATAATTTAACCTCTTTGAAAACTAGAGTGTTCATTTATAAAATGAAAATTATGCCTTCCATACAGGGGTGATTGTGAGGATGAAATGATTCCATGACTTGTGTTTGCTTCAAAAGTAATACAAGAAAGAAGAAGAGATCAGGATATAAATCAGAATTGATCATTAGGCAGCGATTGTTGACACAGAGAGCCAGACACCTAAAAGCTCATTACATTGTTTGGTCTACTGTACTCTGAAATATGTTTGAAATTTTCCATAATTAAAATGTTTTTAAAAGGTGAAATCAGTCAAAATGTGTCTGTAAGGAACAGTATATGTCAAAGGACTAAGGAGTTGGGATAGATTTTGCTCTGAGATTGCCAAATACTTTGAGTGCCAAAATGGAGTATTTTGCTTTGGGGAAGATTGTTTTCAATGATAAATGAGTTGGACTAAAATTGTTATTTTTTCTGTGTGATCATAATTTGAAAATGTCTGCACATACTCTGTCACATCATAGGGTCTACTTATGAGAAAAATGAAAGAAACAAATTTGAACTTTCAGTTCATAAAAGATAATCACATTGAGAGAATGTGAAATATTTTGTGTGTTGGAAGTTACATATGATTATTGTTATTTCTCCTTCAAATATATTCAGGTTTACATTACTGGGGAGACATCTGGACTTCTTGGTGTTTTTATTTGTTCTCAAATTTTATTTTATTAGGAAAATGCTGTTTCCATTTGAAAGATGGTTATATTGCTTTACTTTGGCGTACAAGAGCAATTGTTTTAACTCAACATAAAGGCAGAGTATTTAAACATGCTCAAAGAATGTTCATATCAGGCCGTGTGCTGTTTGTGATTCACATTTCAGGATCTAAGGAATTTTAATTCTACTGAGATTTAGCTAGTAGTTTAGAAAAAGGATTGATTATACATTAGGATAATTAGGCTTACTTTCAAGAACTGCTCGCACAATCTCGAAAGTGGTTTGAAGGCAGTGAATCTCATTTTGATGTATTTTAGAAAATGCGACTTCCCTTGTAGTAGGTGTCGTCAACCACAGGAATCTTCAAGTTGGGGAATATATAAGCTGGGCTGTGAAAAATTCTCCATAGGGTTTAGGGCCACTTAGATAGTTTTAAGTGAATGACTTTCCACTTCCTTTAACTCCCTACTAATTATCCTTTCACACCTAATCTTTAATACAATATTTCCCTCCTCATATGATAGAAAGTTCTAACTTTCTAACTCTCACACAGAGTGCTAACACCTTTAAGGGTGAAGAAGGGAATGTGAGGGGGACAAAGGAAAGAGTTCAAAGTATTGGTGTCCTGTTAAGAACTACACGACTATAATGATTGGATAACATATTCTTCTGCATATTGGATGATTATAAATCCTATCGCTACAAACAAAAATGAAGGACCTAATGGAGTTGTCTAATGATGTATCATTAAAAAATATTTGGTGAAAGATTATTAAGTGATTTTGGCATGTGATTCAGAAGGAGTTCAGAGAATTTGTGGCAATGTTCTAACAAAAGTTCATTTATTTATGCAGACAAGATTTCTCAGCACTAACATTTATAAAAGCAAAAACTGGGATAGTATTGATGCTAAACTATTTTAGCAATAAGTAATATGCACTGACAGATTGTGAATTAGTTCTGAAAAAATGTCTCATTAAGAGAGGACATTTTAAGAAACTGTTACCCTCGTTTAATAATCATAAAATCTGTAATGTGTTTTTGATGTTTTGATCAATTGTGTTTGAATAATTATAATGATCATTTCAACCAGGAGATTTATTTTGGATAATTAAAGCTTATGTTCTCAGGAGGTCTATAAACCTTTTTAAAATTTAAATTTATATTTTTGTGGCAGGGAAATATGATATGGTGATCAATAAAAAACACTCAAGCATAAAATTGTATTACATTAAGATAAAATTATGTGGGGGAAGTGGTATAGAAATAAAAATGTAAGTGGAAAAATTACCAATGTAAAATTCCTATTACAAATTTCTATTTTCAAAGTTTATTTGTGTATTTTTAAGTGGTGGATATCAATTTACATGTACTATTTAGATTCCATTGGATAGTCAAGAATAGTGGGGCAGTTATATTTTAAAAGCTAGTATCCTAATATGTGAGAAATTACACTTTGTGACCACTTAAACCTAGGAGAAAGCTTAGCTCTTGTAAAATAGGAAATGATTGTGTCAGGTGTGTGAGTAAAGGTTGGAAACCCACTGGTCCACAGCATGTTGGATGTTGCACTGGTTCTGGAAGGAACAGTCTGCATTTGTACAATCCCCATTGAATCTAACTGGAGACGCTGCCTTTTGTTCACTAGGACGGTCTGACGCCGCTGCACTGTGGAGCCAGGAGCGGCCATGAGCAGGTGGTGGAAATGCTGCTCGATCGAGCTGCCCCCATTCTTTCAAAAACCAAGGTAATTTCTTCCTAGGTTTCGGGCCATTCGACTGTGCTTAGCTTTGAATCCCTTTCCTGGTTACTCCACCCAGCCTTTTGAGTTATGCAGACAATGCCATCGTTTCCATTTAAGCAATTAGAGTGGCTGTGTTCACCAAATCTCTGGAGAACCTCAAAATCAGTTTGGGCTTATGAAGCCTTTGGTAAGAAGATGTTCTACCACAAAGCCATTTCTGCGCGTGTTGTTTTTGTTTTCTTTTTATCAGGAGCACTTAGTGCTTGACTCTACTCTGTGATCGCTTGTTGGGGAAGGAAAGACTATAAGGTCTAGATTCTCTAAAGTCTAGGTACCAGCTCTCTTTCATCAGCCTCTTGGTTTATTTCGTGAATGTTCACAGACTAGTAACGAGGCCAGGGATGTCATTTGACTGAGAAAGAATGAAAACTTTGGAAAGATGGCATCTGGCTTGGTGCCACAGGGAAAGTTCACATGTCTGAAAAGAACACACGTGGATTGCCTGGAAACAAAATGTTTTACTAAGTGTCTTCTAGATTTTTTAATGGTAAAACCATTTGACCGTATTTGAAAAAAGGGAATATTTGTAAATAAATTTTGGAACTACCTCATAGTCAGCAGGATTTTTATTAATCAATGATTTTGGAAGCTCTATGGAGCTTTATAAAGAGCCTTAATCTCCCCACATTACCAAAACAAAAAAATTACATGTAACTCCTGTTTGCACCCTAATCAGTGTGAAGATACTTACTCTAGTGAAGATAGACAGGGTGGAGGTGATCTCAACAATTCCATCACTCATTTGAAATGCAGAGTTTAGATTGGCAAGCTCTAGAGGTTTTGTCCTACAGAAGTAAACAGTCATAATTTCTTATTGTAGTGCTGACATCTGGGTCTCTTGGGTGCTTTCACCTAAACTACCTACCTGGTCCTTTTCCTTTTATATGGTCCATATCTATCTATCTTTACACCCACTGCTGTCTTCTGAGTCACAGCATCTCTCGCTGAACCATTGTAATAGCTTCATTGCTGGTTCCCCATTTCCCTCCTTGCTTCTCTACAATCCAGTTTCCATTTTGCAGTCAGAGTGGCCATATGAACTGTCCAACCAAGTCATGTCAACCTTGTGCCTAAAAACCTGATTAATTCCCGTTTTTCCCTTTAAAATTAAATTTTATTTTATCAAATAAAATCATTGTATTATCTTTTTTCTCCTATTGTTCATTTCATTATCTATTTGGGTTTTGGGGGTTTTTTGGTTTTGTTTTGTTTTTCCGGAGAAATCTCCTTGGTTTTTTCGTCTATGCTTTTAATATTCAAGAACAATTTTTTATCCTCGGATAGCTTCTTTTCTTAAAGCATCCAGTGCTTATTTTATGGAGACAATATTTTATGTTACATTTCTGAGAACATTTAAGGTACCTTCTCTTTAATGTAATTCTGCTCCCTCTCATCTGTCCATAATTCCTCAGATGTCTTATTTTCTCTCTGTTGGCTTTGGCTCACTCTTTCATGTTGGGGGTTTCCCACTCAGGTGCGTTAGGTGGTGGCAGGTTGGAGCAGTCCTCTAAGGCCAGGATAAGGTGTTTTTTCCCTGGGAAGTTCCATTTTTTGAGACTTCTGAGAACATTTAAGGTACCTTCTCTTTAATGTAATTCTGCTCCCTCTCATCTGTCCATAATTCCTCAGATGTCTTATTTTCTCTCTATGGCTTTGGCTCACTCTTTCATGTTGGGGGTTTCCCCCTCAGGTGCGTTAGGTGGTGGCAGGTTGGAGGGTCCTCTAAGGTCAGGATAAGGTGTTCTTTTCTCTGGGAAGTTCCATTTTTTGAGAGACTGAATTCTCCAACCTTTGATATGTACACTGTGTGAGTAATTTACAGCAGCGATTTTCAAGTTTTTTCATCTCATGGCACACATACACTAATTACTAAAATTCTGTGGCACGCCCAAAATATATTGTTTGCCTATCGGACAAAAAGAAAAATGGGTATCATTTTGATCCATTCACACTGGATGGCTATTGTTGTGTTGACTATTCTCATGTCTTTGACAATATATGGGGGAAGAGGTCAGTGCCCCTGGCTAAATAGTCAGGTATTGCATGTTTTAAAAATTCATGCTGCACACCAGTTGAAAATCACTGGTTTACAGTAAGGAAAAGGAAAAGGGGCTGTCAGTGTCCCTGTCCTGTATGCATACTTTAATCATAACAATGATAACTCATAGTGAGTACTGCATACCAGTTTCTAAGCACTTTATATAATATCTCCTCCCAATAGCTCTATAAGATCCTAATATTACTATTATACCCCTTTTTTAAAAATATATTTTATTGATTTTTCACAGAGAGGAAGTGAGAAGGATAGAGAGCTAGAAACATCGATGAGAGAGAAACATCGATCAGCTGCCTCCTGCACGCTCCCCACTGGGGATGTGCTGCAACCAAGGTACATGCCCCTGACCGGAATTGAACCTGGGACCCTTGAGTCCGCAGGCTGACGCTCTATCCACTGAGTCAAACCGGTCAGGGCTATACCCTTTTTATAGATTAGAAAACTGAGACCCAAAGAAATAAAGTAGCTTCCTCATGACATCTCAGCTAGTGGCAGAACAAGAGTTGGAAGCAGGCAGTCTGACTATAGACACCGGGCAACACCTGTACTGTGAGCACCTGGTCTCAGTCCAGAGCCTCACCACTGCTCTCTACTCTGCCTGGGCCTCTGCATCCAGAGTCTTTCTGGCTTACTTTCTCCAGAGACTAAACCTCTGGCTTCCTGCATGGGGGCAGGCATCTGGCTTTGCTGGGTTGGAAGGGCCTGGAGACCTGACAGCTCTGTACACAGGGGAACCAATCCTACTTTCTCGGCATTAAGCCTCATCTTTATCTTTCAAGAGTACTGTGTATCCACATCCCCTGCCTTTGGGGCATCAGAGAGGCAAATCCATTGTCTTTATTACACTCAGTGGCATGCTGGAGCCAGGTCATTGAGCCTATTGTGTATGCACATCTCATCCCAGCTCCACCTCCAGTAATTTTATGTTGATCGCTTGAAATTGGTCGCTGAGGTCTTGACATCATGGGATTGGCAGATACTACGAATCAGGGCCTTCTTTTTCAAAGAGCTGCTGTTAAACCTTTATCAGCACACCACTGATTATACCCCTCCATGGACACTTAGGTTTCAGCCTTCTTTTTTCTGCTGGGTAAGTTAACACACGTATATCCTCTTTTCATATTCCAAAATGTATAGACAGTGCCCATCTATTTTTGTTTCCTTTCCTATGTGTGTATTTGGCTATGTGGGTGTGCGCGCACACACATGTACATTCCCTTCTGGATTTTGCTTTTCAAATTCCTTTAATGCTTTTTAGTGAGCATTTGGGAAAAGATGGATAAACACATATGTCTAATATATCACATTTACCTGCAAGCTTCCCATTTCCTGAAAATAAACTCTTACTAGAACTTGACCACCTTTCTGCCTCATCTCCTCTCGCTGAGCTCCCTACCATCTTCCAGACAACTAGCCTTAGCCTCATTTCACTTCCTAAAATACACCAAGTTTGTTCTCATTTCCTGTTCTCTTAGACTGAATTCCCTCAGCCTGTCCCAGATCACTGCAGTCTCCACATGTTTTTCAACTCAAATTTCTTTTCAGCACCCTTCTTCTTCATCATTGGTTTATTTGTTCTCATTCTCTCTCTCTCTCTCTCTCTCTCTCTCTCTCTCTCTCTCTCTCTCTCTCCATTAAAATGAAAGCAAGAACTTTGATTAATTAAGTATAGTACCCCAAGCACATAAACAGGTGCCTAACATATATGGTAAATATTTGTTGAATGACTATGAAGTGAATAAGTGCATTCCTAACTGTAAGACCGTCTGTCTAATTCTTCAAGACTCATCTTTCTGAGCTAAGAAAACCCATCACAGTGGATCCGTATTTTCAGCTTGACGAAGGTGCCATGTGTAATAAGACCCCTCTCCACAAGGCAAATGACCTTTACTTTCTTCTTGTCTTTCCCCAGTGACCTATGCTACCCACTCATGTGTCATTAGCTTGTGTATCCTTAGAGAATTGCCCTCGTTTACTGACGCTGCTTTCCTTTTCTACTCTCCCTAAGTCACTTGTTCTCTCAGATTTTGTTATTTTGTTTACTGCATGTGTTCCTCAAAGACTGTATCAACACATAAAGCAAAGGAATGTTTTGACAGGAAATAAAAGAGTGCATATGCTCGGTTGGGGATGGCAGTATCGCAAATGAGAATGTTCCCATCCTTTTTTGCACCTTAGTTTCTACTTTGGTTCAAAATGTTTGCAGGGAATTTTTTAGATAGAAGTATCCTGCCTGACTGACATTGTATGAAGCCTTTAAATTTACATAAATATTTATTGAGCTCTTTCTAGATAAGCAAGGCTCTCTGCTGGCCAGTATGGGGCAATTATAACCCATGGACCTCTTGCTTTCAAGGAAGTTGAAATATATGTCAGTGAGTGAATGATGCCAGGAGAGTGGCCAGAGGAAGACTTGCATTTTTTTCTTACCTTGAACTTCCGTTTTATGTTATTCGTGGATAAATTAGGGGAAATAACTTGTCCTAGAGCAGTGGTCAGCAAACTGCGGCTGGTGAGCCACATGCGGCTCTTTGGCCCCTTGAGTGTGGCTCTTCCACAAAATACCACAAAATACCACGTGCGGGCGCACATGTACAGTGCAATTGAAACTTCATGGCCCATGCGCATAAGTTGGTATTTTGTGGAAGAGCCACACTCAAGGGGCCAAAGAGCCGCATGTGGCTTGCGAGCCACAGTTTGCCGACCACTGTCCTAGAGGATTCAGTAATACTTGGTTCATCAGTGCATACTTACCATGCCATTATTTTCAAAGTTTACAATGACCACTTTTTTGGAAACTGAATTTGCTGTCACTTTGCCCCCCCTAAAATATGTTAAATTATGTTACAGTAATTAACAGGACCTTTCTTGATAATTGGATTCTCTAGGTATTTCTCAGGCTCCTCCAATTTGCCTACACATTTAAAGGAAGCATGCTTGAAAAGACTGACAACCTTTTAGTTGTTTTATTTTTAACTTACAGCTGATGTACAATATTATGTTAGTTCCAGAATGACATAATACCTTGTTTTTGTCTTCATTAGGAAACTTACTGAATACTAAGTGCCACTCTAATCTTTTAAGGTTTTATTTACCTGTGAACCCATTCATGTCTTCTCTCAGCTCTTCACCTGAATTTCTGACTTGTTCCTATTGCACATAATTAACTGTGTCATTGAACCCCATTGATTTAAACTAACTGAGGCAAGCTTCAGTTAATGGCTTAGTCACTGCCTTGCCTTTCCTCATTATAGACACGTGGGGGCGCCAGATTAATGGGAAATGAAAAAAAAGTGTTCCTTTCTACATTGACGTGAGATGAAATGTGTTCTTGTAAGCAGGCCTTTTTTAATCACTGAATCAATACAGTATTCAATACCAAATATTAGCAACTCGTAAGGACAAAATGAAAGCTTACTAGACACCAGCCTGTTCCTGCTTTTGTTTTATCTTTTTCAGTCTGAAAAATTAAGAATTCCAATTCACTGGGAATGCAATAAATAATGGATTTTAGTGCAACTCACACTTTTTCAATCAGAAAAAAGAAATTATCTTTGAAAATGTGTTGATTTCTATTGATATAAGAATTCAGAGGACTAGTTTTAAAAGTTCAAAACCGTTGTCAAAACCTTTTAAACAATAGAAGGTATTTCTGTATGAAAAACTAGAGTTTTTAATCTGTTCATATCTGTGCTGTATTTTGTGTCTGGCACATTTTTTATTAAAAGGCAACATGATAAACTCTGATTCTCTTGTGTGTTCCAGAATGGACTGTCCCCACTGCACATGGCCACCCAAGGGGACCACTTGAACTGTGTCCAGCTTCTCCTCCAGCATAACGTGCCTGTGGACGACGTCACCAACGACTACCTGACTGCCCTGCACGTGGCCGCCCACTGTGGCCATTACAAAGTCGCCAAGGTTCTCTTGGACAAGAAAGCTAACCCCAATGCCAAAGCCCTGGTGAGTGGCTCTGCCAAAGGTCCAGATGTTGTCCTGCCGAGGACATGCTACCTCTGTATGCTAAGGGATTGCTTTTGAGGAGGTAAAAATGGAAGGTCTAATCAAACCAAGTGCACGTCTCCTCAACTTTTTCAAATCTCCTTCTGGGAAATCTACAAAACCTTCTAGTTCTGACACCAACAGGCTTGTGGGATTTGGTCGTTAACACCCTTTAGGGTCACACCAGTGATTCTCTTATGCAAATGAAACCCAAAGACCATGCAAGTATAAAATTCCTGAGGAGGTCAACCTTATCTTACTATAGGAAACGTTATAATCCAATGAATTAAAAGTGTTTTCTGAGGCAAAATGATAAAAAAAAAACACATTATCTTAAATATGAGAAGTCTAGGAATGTATGAGCTAAAATGCTATGTTAACCATGTAAGTTAATGAAATATGGCCTGTCATCTACACAAATCTCAATGTTGGTCTAGTCTGTAGTCTTAACTCCTAAAATGATTTGCTATTTTAACCCTTAGCTCTGTATGGTAATTTGGTTTTCTCAGCAGGATGGTGTTTGTTGTCTTAGGAAAATAAATGGTCCCAATTTAGTCAGCTGTTTAAATTTAGTTCAGAAGAAGCACCCACGTTTAGGAAAAACTAACTCACCAAATGCTAGGGAGAGCCTGTGAGTGAATTCATAATTTTGAGCTGAAGGCTGCCACCCAGTCAGCCCTGTTAGGGAGGGTCCCTGCTCCTTTCCGGCTGTGGTCACCCTGGCTGAATGGATCTGCTGTCTGGCTCTGAAATCCGGGGTGGGCAGCAAAGAATGAGGAGAGGGGAGCTCTCCAGACCCCAGGCAGCTGCATGACCATAGTCGTTCTAAGTGCTTTTCTCAGAGCAGCATGTCGAGAGCTGTTGACCTGCCCCCTGTATCAAACATATCTTTAAATTCTGGGAAGGGAGGAAAATAAATTAGCAGTCATGACTCATTTTCCATACAAGAAAAAAAAAGCCTTCAAACAGGGTGTGGGCTCTCACTGTCATTTTCCTATGACTCGAAAGATTTCGCAACACGTAAAGGCTGTAGCCAGTCATCCTGGCATGGACTCTGGCCAGGTAAAGGGAAGCACCTGCTGTGACTTTGACCTAAGCTTTTAGAGTGGACCCCAGAATGTTACATAGTTCTCTGTGGCAACTAAAAGACGCTCATGGTCTCAAGGATGAGGCAGTAGGATTTGGTAGGCGATTTGTTTTAAATAAGCAGGTCCTTTTATCAGATTAAATATTAAACCAAACAATCCAAATAATGTTGGGTTGTGGAACTTTCTGCTTCCTTGAACTAAGCACCTACTTGGATCTTAAAGCTGGAAGGAATGAACACCTTCAAGAACTGGTCTTGTAGTTGCCTTACCATGTAGCAGAGAAGTCAGAATAGGCATTGGTGACCTTTGGGCTTTGAGGACAAGTGTCAGGGCCAGCTGTTTTTAGTCTGTGTTTGAAATGAGGAAGAGGAGGGACATATTATTTGGAAGAGTGAATTCCAAAATGAAGTCATCTAAAGGAATAGAGTGACCATTCTGCCTTAGCTCCCAGGGATGGTGACCAAAAAAATTTCACCATTACCAGAGCACCTAGGGTTCCTAGGACCAGCTAGGCTACTGTGCTTCCAGAAAAGGATCTGCATTCTGCCTAGCGCCATGTCGTTACTGCTCTTTTCCAAATCTTTCCAGAAACACACGGTAGCAAAAATGTTGTACCACACTCAGTGGAATGGGATTTCAATGGGATGTAGTCAAGTGGATATGTGTCGTTGTCCCTTGCAGAATGGCTTTACCCCTCTTCACATCGCCTGCAAGAAGAATCGGATTAAAGTCATGGAACTCCTTCTGAAACACGGTGCATCCATCCAAGCTGTAACCGAGGTGAGAGGACTAGGACTGCTGGGTCCCCCGGTACTGAAAGGAGAGCAGCCCGAGTCCCAGTGTCAGCCCCGATGACCAGCGAGTTTTGCTCCGTGTGATTGCCACAGTCTACTCTCTGAGCCTTTCACCCAAGGGGCTGCGAGTCCCGAGGAGAGCAGACATGAGCGTGGGTGGGTCAGTGCAGGTTCATCATCGTGACTAGAAGCACAACCCCAAACAGGCTTCGCGCTCCGGGGGAGGGACTCCGTCCCTGAAAGCATCATTTATATGAAAGCCTATAGTGCAGTGCTTCTCAGAGGGGGGCGCTTTTGCCCCCAAGGGACATTTGCAATGTCTGCAGGTTGTTTTTAGTGTCACAACTGGATGGTGCTACTGGCATCTAGTGGACGGAGGCCAGAGATGCTACTAAACAGTTGACAATGTACAGGCCAGACTCCCACCGCAAGGAATTATCTGGCTCAAAATGCCAATGTGCCAATGAGCTGAGAAACCCTGCATAATACAGCCTCTGTGTGTTTGAAAAGTGTGGATTACTCTCTATAAAACCTCACAGAGTTAATGCAACAGAGTGAAGGACTAGCTCTAGATTTCTTTTGTACAAACCAACACAGAACTCAGAAAAAAAGGCCCATCAGGATAAGGGCTAAGCCTTCAACACAGCCAAGCCGGCCTGGCATCTACTCTCCAGACTCCTCCCATCCCCCACCCCATCCTAGCACGAGGTCTCTGTGGATTCTAGTCATCAACACTGCCCTAGACTGGACACCCTTTCATTCATACCTCTCTGCTCCCTTTGTGTGTCACACACCCGCTTCCCCAGGCTAATCCTGCACATCCTCCAGGACCAGATCTGGGCCACCTTCTCCAGGAAACCTCCCCTCACCCCCTGACCTGGTCCAGGACCTCTCCCCAGGCCCACACTACTGCTGTGTGTACTTCCACCAAAGCACTGACTCAGCTGCTTTACTTATGACCCAGCCAGCCCCCTGCCCCCTAGAACCTGCAGGCTCCTTCTGGACAGGCGTGAGTCTTGCTGGTGTTTCTATGCCCACAAGGCCTGGCTCATAGGAGATCATTCAGAAAGGCTTGTTGATTGCATCATAAAGACGATGAGATTTGAGGCCAACATAAAAGCTGAGATCTAGTCCAGTGATTCTCACATTACCTCATTCTCTGATCTAGTCTAGTGGCCATTATAGTATTTGTCTTAATTATATCACCTCAATGTATGATATTCATATAGTTAAAAATCAAATAACTGAGACTGTTAATGTCGATTTGCTCATTTTAGCAGAATGGCTTTGTGTTAGGCTCCATAATCTTTCACGTGTAATGCGGAGTGCATGGGAGTCCTTGAAGGCCAGAGAGGATTTGAAATAAGAGTCAACTGTTTACTAACACATCCTGTCTGGATTTGTAACACTCAAAATATTTTAAAAATCACATGGTCGAAAATATTAATACTGATTTATACTTTTATCAGTCTTATGGCTTCATGGTAGACACCCTGTTTTTCAATTATAAAGTAGTAAGTTTATTCTCAGTGCATGGAAACCCCTTTTAAAGATTAGAATGTACTCTGGAGTGGAAGTGGAGTTTTGACTGACGTTTGAATAAATGCCCAGAGATGTCAGCTGGTGAGGAGACGGTCCCAGTGCCAGCCCCGTGCTCCCCATGAGCTCTGTACACCAGCCCAGACGCGCATGAGGGCTTCACCCTGCACACATTTTGACTACTCCCCCTGCTGACGGAAAAAGGGCTCCATGTTATAACAAGTCTTTTCCCATTTTTCCTCAGTTCCCATTAGTTGAAATGGGTGCAACCAGAATTCTTCCCCTTCTTTCTTTTACCTAACTTTTACTCTAGAGAATTTCTTTTACCTTTTTTTTTACGTTATTCAAATTTCTATGGACATTTGCTATCTCCTTCTCTCTCCTTAAAAAAAAAGAGCTTTTTCTAGCCATTTTAAGTATTTTTACCAAATTAGGATGTTCATGTTGTAAGTGGAATTATATTCTGAAAAATTAAAAATGTAATCATTTCATGTAAAAAGCAGAAGTGTTATGAGTTGTGTTGTATGTAGGCTTTGAAGCAAACTTAAAAATGAAGGTCTAGCCTAGCCAGTTTGGCTCAGTGGGTGGATGGGTGGATGGGTGGATGGTAGGCGGCGGTTGGGCAGGCAGGCAGAGAAACCCTTTTTATGATAAGACTACAAACCAACATTTCCCTCTTCTTCCCCCAGTCGGGCCTTACCCCAATCCATGTTGCTGCCTTCATGGGGCATGTAAATATCGTATCACAGCTAATGCATCATGGAGCCTCCCCAAATACCACCAACGTGGTAAGTATCCTTTTCACAGAGAACGGCCAGTTGTGAGTACTTATTAAACTGGCAAAGGTTGCTCTTACCTACTTTTTTGTTGTTGTTGTTATAAGTAAATTAATTGACATCACAGTAGTATTAACACACCAGACCACAAGCATAACAATGCTAGTTGGACCCATGAGTGCCAAAGGAGTAAAAATAAAACCAGCAACATTCTGGCTCAGAAACAGCAAACCAGAAGTTTCCTGTACACCCACCCTGAGGGTGTGCCACCAACAAGGGTCTCTACTAGCAACCAGAATCAGCACCGAAACAGACCAGCTTCTCAGTGAAATACAGGCTTTCCTGGCCCTAACACCATGGGGAGGTTTTACCATATACTGGGTTATATGGTAACTACATCCTAAAGATCTTTCCAGTAAACACATTAGCAAGTTTTGAGTGAAATATGTCTTTGTTATATATCACTTATGGGAGAGAATATATTTTATTATTACTTTGTTTCTATCTATCCATATCTTCTATACTGTTTTCATTTTTTGTTGTTACATAAATGAATAATCCGAATTAAAGTTTCCTTAATGAAATG